TCATACAAGTGCTCTAGTACAATCATTTTAACCATGTCTTCCTTAGTCTGGGCCCCATCTGCCCACTTGTGGACATATCCCTCCATTCAGAGGATCAGTTCCAGATATGTGTCCTCAGGGGTTTTACGCTGACTCCGGAACTTTTTCCGGTATGCCTCAGGAGTCATCTCAAACTTTCATAGCAGGGCCTTTTTGAACAGTTCATAGTCCCCTGCCTCCACCCCTTCCATTCAACTGTACATCCCCATGGCTTTGGGGTCCAGTAAGAGGGTGAGAAACTGGAGCCTGTCTGCAGGGTCAACACTGTGCAGCTTGCAGGCATTCTCAAAGGTCATCAGGAATCAACTGTGCTTTGATGAGCTTTCCAATGTGCAGCCCTCTCTCTCTCTCTCTCTCTCTGCACAGGTCTACAAGGTCCCTCTTAAGGAGATGGTTATACATTTTTCTGCTGTTCCCAAGTTGTTGAGGACTTGCAGGCATGGGTGCTCTCAGCTCTCCACAGTTTCCCGGAAGAACCCCTACTATGCCAGCCCTTCTCCAGGTTACCACTTCTCTCCCAGGGTCAAGCCGCAGACTCCTCTGCCCCTGGAACCCCTCACCGCAGTCCCCAGGGGGACCCAGTTACTGCAAAGTCCTCCTCACTGGTCACACATTCTCAGGGGTTAAGCGTAGCTCCTTCGCCTCCTGAAACTGCTCCTCTCTGAGCCTTCAGCACGCCTGGTTCTCATTAATCCCCCTTTGTTTTAGGGTTCCCCAGTCACTCACTGCAGGAAGCACTATCCACAGGATGCAGTACATCCCACCACTGCCACCAGTTGTCACAGAGTGTGGGGGAGTCAGGGCCCTGCACCCCCCACTTCCTGCGATTCACCATGACTCTCAGCCAGCCAGTAAAAGAGAAGGTTTATTAGATGACAGGAACATAGCCTAAAGTAGAGCTTATAGGTTCAGAAAACAGGACCCCTCAGTCAGGTCCATCTTGGGGGTAGGGAGCCCAGACCCCAGTTCTGGGTTTCCGTCCATTTCCGCAGCCAGCTCCAAACTGAAACTCCCTCCAGCAGTCCTATGCAGCCACAAACTCCGTCCCCTCCTCCAGCCTTTGTCCAGTTTCCCAGCCAGAAGGTGTCAACCTGGCCCCAAGCCCCTCCTGGGTTCAGGTTACATGCCGGCCGGCAGTCAAGTATCATCCCGCAAGTGACGTCACACCCTTATATCCCACCACCATCTAGTATTAATGCAGACCGTAAACTCGTAAAACCCCCATGTAGCATTACCAGGTTAATACTCCCTGCTCCATCACCGTATCTCCGCCATGGATGGACAGAGGACTCCAGCCTCTGGAGAGAGAGATTCATTATGAAATCTAGAGAAATAATCTCAATCCCTAGTTGTTTATATTAAACTCCTAAAGGATCTATATGTGTTGGGGCCGGGTTATCTCACTTGGCAAGCAGAATGGGGAATAAAGCTTTGTGGCTGAATTCTCTGTGCAGATGTATTTACATGCCAGTCTACAGAGTCCATTCTGGGGGGATGCTTTCAGAAACAGGGCCAACGTCATGGGAATGCATATAAGTGTTATGCATTGTAATGGACTCGCCAGTAGGTGGTGCTGCTGAGACTGACAAACCACAAGGGGATTTTTACTCTGAGCAAGGAGGCAGTTACCTGCGTCTGCAGGCGAATGATGCATGACTAGGTCATGGATGAGCCTAGTACATAGCTAGGGACTGATCTAAATGATAGGGTTTGTACTTGTAATGTCTCTGAAAGGCTCCCTGTGCCCTTGGCTTAGAACAGTGGAACGTTTTCTGGAAATCTACATAGATAAATACAGAGTTACCGAGAAAAGAGTGAGTATTAACCATACACTACAGTCCTGCAAAGGAAGAATGATACTAACTGTCACAGAGCTACAGAACAGAAATATTTATTGAACACGGCTGCCTTTTCCACATCATTAACACATTTGCTGTCTCCATCTTGACCATTGCTAAGATTGCTTTTGTTCCTAATATACTTAAACTGTTTATTGTCTTTAACCCTGCCAGCCACAGTTCTACACCACCACCCCATCCCACCCGTCAGTGCTAACTGGTCAGGCACATAAGCAATGCTCCACTGAATAAAGCTGCTCCAGATTTCTGCTCCCTGCAGAAATAATGACTTGATTTCCTCCTCTTCGTCGTCCACTCTTCAGGGACTAGCGGAGTGTTTCTCAAATGCAGCCACCAAGGGCTTTTCTTGCGGCCACAGCCTCCTTGCATGGTGATGTGGGGGGAAAGCAGTGGCCCCTCCCCAAGTGCTCCCAGCAGGAGTTGGGCCCTGCCCCCCTCTGGAGAGACAAATGCTGGAGGAGCAGGCAGCCAGTGAGTTCCCCACCTTCCCAGAGGCAGTGGGGTCAGGCTTCAGTCTTGGGGTGACAGGCAGCCGGCTCCAGCCCCTGGGCTCTGGCCCCCAGGCTCACCACCCTCACCTCCCCTCGCTCCTGACCCCCGCTGCCTCCTTGCCCACCTCCCCATCCAGGGCTTAATTTGTCCCCAGAATTGCCAAGGCTGAGTAAATCTGCTGTGAAAAGAGATATTTGTATGTTTGTTAATATCACTTTTCCTGTCAGACTTAGTAGTTAGCTGGAGGCTATGAAAAGTGACATTAATATACAAGTATCACTTTTCACAGCAGACTAACGAACTAGCAGGTCAAAAAAAATTCAACCAAAAAAGCACAAGAAATAACAACAGAAAAGACAAGAATGTGGAAAGCACCTTATTTGTGTTTCTACTCTGTTTAGCTCCAGTAAAGAATAGAGATAATTATACATTATTTTGGTTATTCAGCCTGTAAAAAAGCCCTACATAAATAAATGACAATGATTTGGACGTGGATATGTGCATATTTATTTGTTTTTTTCTAAAGTTAAGTATTTTAGGAAAAATTGTGAGCACAGCCACCAAAAAATTTGTTGTGAGAACCCCTAGCGCCCCTCAGCAAGTATTTGCAGTGACACCCCCAGGCCGCATTTTCAGAACAGAGGAGGATTTATTAGTCAATTGGAATGCAACACTGGAAGTCCTTAGCATAAAAGAAAAGAAGGTTAAAGCATAGTCCACTCTGATAAAGCCACAATGCACAAGCCAAGCTGTAGTGAACTCCATTCTCAGGCTCTGGCTCCGTCTTCCTCTGACTTCCTTCCTTCAGCCCAGGAGAGAGCCCCAAGCTTCTTCCAGGACCTACATTTATACTCTGCTGGACTAGGGTGACCAGATAGCAAGTGTGAAAAATTGGGACAGAGGGTAGGGGGTAATAGGAACCTATATAAGAAAAAGCCCCAAATATCGGGACTGTCCCTATAAAGTCGGGACATCTGGTCACCCTATGCTGGATACATCTGTCTTTTGTTCTCCAGGCAGAGTGATGCTGAGTTCACCACCCTGCTGGCCAGAGTTTCCCACTGTTGAGTGTCGATTCATGAGTCACTGGAGCTTGTGTTGGTTGATCTGGGTCGATTTCAGCCAGTTCTTTAACAACTCTATTTATGCCACCCAGTCAGTGAGGCAACACACACACAAACCACCCTTATATCTCTGCCCTGAGAGCAAACTTAATCCTTCCCCCGCCCCGGATGGCAGTGAAGCATAACAAGCCTTGTGGATAGAGGAAGCAGTATATAGCTCAACTTTTGTAAGGCATCCTCCTTATAAGGAAACTAGGGAAATACAGCCTGGACAAACCTGCTCTAAGGTGGATGCACAACTGGCTGGAAAAGCGCACTCAGCGTGAGCAGTAAGGTTAAGATGTCGTCACGGTGATGTCTAGTAAAAGCCACGGACAGGTCATGGGCAACAGACAGAAATTCAAAGAAGCCCATGACCTGTCCGTGGCTTTTGCTAAAAATAAAGGAGAGGGGGTGGGGGGGGACACAACACTAACAGCTCCAGCCCCCATCCCCTGTAGCAATGGCTCAGAGCTCCGGGGTCGGCGTCTTGGCGCTCTGGGGTCCCCGCAGCGGATGACAGCTTTTCTACTGCCCCTCTAGGGCACGGAACACAAGAGGTGCAACACCTGTGCAGTTAGATACACCCAGAGAAGATCCCACAATCCCTCTGGACCACGTGGAAGACCCCAGCACTTTCATCTGGGTGCATTTTAAGTCTCTTGTACCACAGTCCTTCCTGGGAAGTCTTTATGTGGGACACAGGGGTGAAGACTATTTGTTATTTTAAAATCCTTTTGCTCTTTTTCTTTCACCCTGCTGCAAAATAAAACAGCCTTCTTCAAACTAAAGTGGTGTTTGTCACTGCACACCACTGATCCCAGGCTCCCAAAGGTGTCTGCACTCAGCCTGACATGCTGGGGAAGCACAGTTGACATGCTGGGTATGGTAGCCCAGAGCCCAGTCTAGGAGAGGGAGAATTACAGAAATCTGCTCCAGAAAAGGCATGAGGCTGAAACCTTGGGAGGAGCAGGAGGCACTCAGAGAAACTGGGAAGGCGACAGAGATATAGCTATCCCTGCCGCTCCCCAGGACATCCACTCCCTGCTCTCAGCGCTCCCTGCTTTGTGGTACTGCAGGCACCAGCTCCCCATCATCTCATCCCCCCCACTGCTCTCTGCTCTCCCTTCTCCCAAAGACCCCTGAATAGAAACCTCACCCTGTCTTTCACCAGTGGAAGAGCCCAGCTGTCACACTCTCCATGCATTTGGGAAGTGATTATGGCAGAGCGCCAGCTCTGACACTGTTACAGTTAAGCACGATGTTCTGTTTAAAAGTTGAGTATTCTAACTGCTCTGAAATGCACGTGTGCTCGGATTGTCTTGGCATTTGCTACTCTCTATGTGCATGCAGGGTAAGGTTAGTGGTTTAAATTTATGGTTACTTGAACAAACAATTCCTCAGGACCCCCCACCCCCACCCCAGTAGCTCCCTAAAAGGAACCTTTTTACAAAATCCCCTTGTTCTTACAACATTTTGCACACACCTAGGCTGAAACTATGCTTCTAATTCTCCGCCCGACTGATCTCATCTGATTTGTGTCCATTTATTCTTTTGCATAGAGACTGTCCGGTTTGGCCAATGTACATGGCAGAGGTCATTGCTGGCACATGATGGCATATAGCACATTGGTAGATGTGCAGGTGAACAAGCCCCTGATGGCGTGGCTAATGTGATTAGATCCTATGATGGTGTCCCTTGAATAGATATGTGGACAGAGTTGGCAATGGGGTATGTTGCAAGGATAGGTTCCTGGATTAGTGGTTTTGTTGTGTGGTGTGTCATTGCTGGTGAGTATTTGCTTCAGGTTGGGGGCCTGTCTCCCAAGGTCTGTGAGAGTGAGGGACCATCCTTCAGGATAGGTTGCAGATCCTCGATGATGCACTGGAGAGGTTTCTAGTTGGGGGCTGTAGGTGACGGCTAGTGGTAGTCTGTTACTTTCTTTGTTGGGCCTATCCTGTAGTAGGTGACTTCTTTTGGGTACTTTTCTGGTTCTGTCAATCGGTTTCTTCACTTCAGCAGGTGGGTGTTGTAGTTTTAAGAACACTTGATAGAGATTGTGTAAGTATTTGTCTCTGTCTGAGGGATTGGAGCAAATGCGGTTGTATCTTAGAGTCTCTACGCAAAAGAATAAAGGGACACAAATCAAATGTCAAGAATTAAAACATTCAAAAACCAGTCGAAGAACACTTCAACCTCCCTGGATGCTTCATTACAGACTTAACAGTGGCAATTCTTCAACAAAAAAACTTCAAAAACAGACTCCAATGAGAAACTGCAGAACTGGAATTAATTTGCAAACTGGACACGATCAAATTAGGCCTGAATAAAGGCTGGGAGTGGATGGGTCATTACACAAACTAGAAACTATTTCCCCGTGTTAATTTTTCCCCCTACTGTTACTCACACCTTCTTGTCAACTGTTTGAAATGTGCCACCCTAATTACCACTACAAAAGTGATTTTTCCTCCTGCTGATAATAGCCCACTTTAAATTCAATTGTCTCGTTAGAACTGGTAAGGCAACTCCCATCTTTTCATGTACTTTGTATATATATCTTCCTAGTGTATTTTCCACTCCATGCATCTGATGAAGTGGGTTTTAGCCCACGAAAGCTTATGCCCAAATAAATGTGTTAGTCTCTAAGATGCCACAAGTACTCCTCGTTGTTTTAGCATTCACAGGGACTCACACCTTTGTGCATTCTCTGATGTCTAATAAGGTGTGAGAGCCAAGAGAAGGTTTTCCCACACTCAGGGCACATGTTTTGTCTCTCTCTCCCTTGAGGATTCTCTGCTGGGCTGTGGTTTCCTTGAGGTCCTTGAGATTTTCCTCACAGCTGATGGATTTACCCACTTTCTCCCCTGATTTGTTTCCCTGCTGCCTCTCTTCACGACTCCTGGACACGTTCCCTTGAGTTCCTTCTGGTAATCGCCCTTGCAGTTCCACGTGCTCAGCATCTTCCTGCTGTGGATTCTGCTCCTTGTTCTCACTCACCATCCCATCGTCTCCTGGGCCAGAGAGAGAAACCTCAGAAGCTGGGATGGAAAAGGGGAGAGAAAACCAAAGTAAGTGCTAGAGAGATGGGGGGAAGATCAGGAAATCAATTCCCCAAAACTCTTCCCTAAAGGGGAGAGAGGAGAGGATCAACTCAGTCTCCATATCCCATCCCAATGCTCAGGATGAAGGGACGTTAGGAATTCAGTTATTGTTACTAGGGCTGTTGATTAATCGCAGTGAACTCACGCAATTAACTCAAAAAATTAATCGTGATAAAAATATTAATCGTGATTAATTGCACTTTTAATTGCACAGTTAAACAATAGAATACCAATTGAAATGTATTAAATATTTTTGGATGTTTTTCTACATTTTCAAATATATTGATTTCAATTACAACACAGAATACAAAGTATACAGTGCTCACTTTATATTATTTTTATTACAAATATTTGCACTGTAAAAATTATAAAGTATTTTTCAATTCGCCTCATACAAGTACTGTAGTGCAATCTCTTCATCAAGAAACTTACAAATGTAGTTTTTTTGTTACATAACTGCAGTAAAAAAACAAAAAAACCCCCCCAACAACGTAAAACTTAAGAGCCTAAAAGTCCACTCAGTCCAACTTCTTGTTCAGCCAATTGCTAAGACAACAATCATATCATAAAGTTTGTTTACATTTATGGGACATAATGCTGCCTGCTTCTTATTTACATCACCTGAAAGTGAGAACAGGTGTTTGCATTGCACTGTTGTAGTAGCTGGCATTGCAAGATATTTACATGCCAGACAAGCTAAAGATTCTTATGTCCCTTCATGCTTCAACCACCATTCCAGAGAACATGCATCCATGCCAATGATGGGTTCTGCTCGATAATGATCCAAAGCAGTGCAGACCGATGCATGTTCATTTTCATCGTCTGTGTCAGATGCCACCAGCAGAAGGTTGATTTTCTTTTTTGGTGGTTTGGTTCTGTTGTTTCCACATCGTAGTGTTGCTCTTTTAAGACTTCTGAAAGCATGCACCACACCTCGTTCCTCTCAGCTTTTGGAAGGCACTTCAGATTCTTAAACCCTGGGTCAAGTGCTGTAGCTATCTTTAGAAATCTCACATTGGTATGTTCTTAGCGTTTGACAAATCTGCAGTGAAAGTGTTTTAAAACAAACAACATGTGCTGGGTTATCATCCAAGACTGCTATAACTCGAAACACCTGGCAGAATGTGGGTAAAATAGAGCAGGAGGCATACAATTCTCCCCCAAGGAGTTCAGTCACAAATTTAATTAACACTTTTTTTTTTAAAATAAGTGTTGTCAGCATGGAAGCATGTCCTCTGGAATGGTGGCTGAAGCATGAAGGGGCATACAAATGTTTAGCATCTCTAGCATGTAAATACCTTGCAATGCAGCTACAAAAGTGCTATGAAAATGCCTGTTCTCACTTTCAGGCAACATTGTAAATAAGAAGTGGGCAGCATTATGTCCCATAAATGTAAACAAATGTATTTGGCTTAGTGATTGGCTGAACAAGAAGTAGGACTGAGTAGACTTTTAGGCTCTGAAGTTTTACATCATTTTATTTTTGAGTGCAGTTAGTTTTTCTACATAATTCTACATTTGTAAGTTCAACTTTCATGATAAAGAGATTGCACTATATTATTTGCATTAGGTGAATTGAACAATACTATTTTTGTTTTTTACTATGCAAATATTTGTAATCAGAAATAATAATATAAAGTGAGCACTGTACACTTTGTATTGTGTGGTAATTGAAATCAATATATTTGAAAATGTTGAAAATATCCAAACATATTTAAATAAATGGTATTCTATTATTCTTTAATCACATGATTAATCACAATTAATTTTTGTAATTGCTTAACAGCCCTAATTGTTATGAGTCAGTCACAATGGGTAGGAGGCCATGAGCGATATCTGCTCTGTGGATATGACACCTGCTGGGGGCCAGTAGAGAACTCAAAGAGCTCTCAAGTTCTTGGTAGGGAATCCCAGCTGTGTCTTTCAGGCAAAGACAGTATTTGAGTTGGTCTAATGATTCCTCACCTGTGCAGGTTCCTCTCAGGCTCTCTCTTCCCTCAGGGCCCTGGAGATCTGAGACCCACACCTCTTCCCCCGGTTCCAGCTGGGACATCACCTCAGCTTTGGAAACTGGAAGCCCTGCTCAGATGAAGGAAAACAAATGAGATCACGTGAATTCATGGCACATTTATCATAAAGAACATGGACTTTTTTTTTAAAAAACCTGGCTCATTTTATATTCTGGAGCTAGCTCTCCTGGTGCTCAAAGGTGCCAGACACTCTGCTTAATACTCTCCACCGCTCTGCTGGTGCACACGCAGACAAACACTCCTTATTAAAGAGACTCATAAAACCCACAGAAAGTAACTCCGTATCACTGAAAGCCAAGGAAAAGTCACCTTGGGACTGCTTCTTACCGACAGACCCAATAATAATAAGACAGTCATAGGGGAACTGGGACTGGTGAGCATGGGCTTGCAGGGTTCAGCATAGTAATGAATAGGGAGGAGTGGGGATATCACTGAGCGCAGTCTGTCTGGGGTGCCAGATATCAGGAAAGCACATTTTGAGAAGTTAGGGAATATAATGAGTCAGGTGTAATGGAAAGGAGCATTACCAAGAAGCAGGTCGACTAGGAGGTGTTCTATTAACCCCATAGTCAAAACACTTTCCAAACGTTCCCACACCACATGGATTTTAGCTAGTGGCACGAGGAATCTGCTTTTGCCCTCCCACACAATCTTTGCCATTTGGCCAGGCAACATACTGGCCTTTGAGACCACACTCTGCTTAACCAAAGAGATCTGGGCCCCTGTATCCCTCTGCCCCAAGTATTCCCGGCCAGTAATTTTGACAACCTTAACATGCATCATGTCTGGTTCTGCAGAGGCTAATCTCACAAAACCAACATGATCAGTTTCAATTGCTTTGGGGGTTTTTGTGTTGAGGGCAGCAGAACTAACATGAGCTATTGGTTGCCTGCTTCCTCCTCGCACAGGGCATTTATTCCTCTAGTGATCAGTGGAATTACACAGATAGCACATTTTGGGCTCTTCTGCTTTTACAGGAGATTTGGGATGAGGGTTAGAGGAATATTTTTGGGTAAGAGAATGTTTAGGCTCCCAGCCCCCTTCTCTCTTCCCAGGGGCAAAATGGGATCCTCCCTTCCCACCAGTTGTAAACCCCTCTTTCTGTGGCCTGCCCTCAATAGACACCTGATTGTGTTCAAAGGCATCAGCTAAAAAAGACATCGCATCCACAGACTTTACTTCTTTGTCCCATAGACACTGCTTCACATCAGCCTCACATATGCTTAGGAAATGCTTTTGGTCAACAAGATCCAACATTCCCTCAAAACTTGCCACTTTACCTCTCACCCATTTTCCCAACAAATCTTTCATTTTGTCTACATATTTCCCATTACTCATAGCAATATCCTTCTTAAGATTCCTAAATTTAACTAAAAGAAAAGGAGTACTTGTGGCACCTTAGAGACTAACAAATTTATTGGAGCATAAGCTTTCGTGAGCTACAGCTCACTTCATCGGATGCATACCGTGGAAAATACAGTGGGGAGATTTATATACATACAGAACATGTACATTCCCATGCATGTATATTCTGAATGCATCCAATGAAGTGAGCTGTAGCTCACGAAAGCTTATGCTCCAATAAATTTGTTAGTCTCTAAGGTGCCACTAGTACTCCTTTTCTTTTTGCGAACACAGACTAACACGGCTGCTACTCTGAAACCTAAATTTAACTCTATATGTTTCAGGGGTAATCTGAAAACTTTGCAAAACAGTATCTTTAAATTTACAATAGTCTAAAGCATCTTCAATAGGCATTCCATTGAATACATTTTGAGTTTTACCCGTTAATTTTGCAATCAGGGTAGGAACTCTCTTTTCAGGGATTTCATGTATTACACACAACCTTTCAAAGGTAGTCAGATATTCAGCAATATCATCGTCCTCACTGTACGCAGGACATAAGTGTTCCCATTTGTGGATTTTTGGAGTGATGGGAGTCGCTGGGGTTAGGGGATTCTGGTTCTGCTTTTCTAGCAGGTCCAGCTGGTGTTTTTGCTCTCTCTCTCTCTCTCTCTCTCTTTCTCTTTTTTCTTCCATTGCCCTTCTGTGTGCAGCCTCCTCCCTGCCTGCCTCTGCCTCCATAGTTTCCCTTGCCACAGCTGCTTCTTTTAGCCTCATTTCTGCCTGCCACATTTATCTCTGCAGCTTCCAGTCTGGCCAGCTCTAGTTTTGTAGTTGCCTCACTGATAGTCATTTCTTTGCTTTCCTGTGCTTATTTCCCTCACCCGAAATGAACAACCAGAAAATAACAAAACTGTGACCTCCTCCTGACTGTTCTTAGCCACTGCACTTAAGACTCACTTAAAATCACAAATATCAGTGCTTAAAGTGTGAACTCCACTTGGAGTAACAAGCCGTGCATACACTCTGCTCGCTGCGCCACTGTGACGTTCCCCTCTGGTGTTATCGGGACCGGTGATCTGCTCGGTCACTCCAATCCTTCACTCTAGGAGCCAGCCTTACCCTGCTCTGCTGTGAGAACCCCTGCTCCTGGGCTGTTCACGCACAGCCTCTGGCATGTAAGCTTCTTGGATTGTTCAACCGAATGACACTAGCCAATATCTCTGGTCCCAGACACAACCCTAGGACCCTCCGTCTTGCAGTGTCCAGTTATGCCTGCTGGATGCTGTAAGCTTATATGAGTTTGTCAATTTAACAAAAAAATTGATGTGCACCAGGCTTGTTATCCAAAGGGGAGTCTCTGACACGCTTCAAACCAAACGCACTCCTTCAGGCAGAACAAACAAACAAAATTATTAATGACAAAGATAGATTTTAAGTGATATTAAGTGATAGGCAAAAAGTGAGAGTTAGTTACCAAAAGAAATAAAATGTAACCACGCAGTCTAAACTCTCAACCCTATTAGACTGGGCAACAACTAGATTAAGCAGTTTTTCTCACCCCACTGGATATTGCAGTCCTTTGGCCCTGGTTTAAGGAACAAACCTGTATATTATCTCCTGTGTTGGAGTCTTGTCTTCTTCTCAGGGTCTTGGTTGCTTGCAGCATAGGTGGGGGCAGGAGAAGGGCCCAGTATGTATCCACTCTGTCTGTTTTATACCCTCAGTCCATGTGCTTGGGGAAGAAAAGTACAGGCATGTCTGGGGGCATTGCTGAGTCTCTCCAAGCAAGGATGAGCAATTCCCCTGGTGTGGCCTCACACAGGTGAGTCATTGCATTGTATCTCCCCTGCTGGACAATGGTTGTTGATGGGTTGTTTCACACCACGCCTGGGTGTTGGTTAATTTCCTTGCTGTCGCCTCTGGGGAGCTAGTATTTGTCTGATTCCCCAGTTTACAGCATGCTTTAGTGACAATCATACAACACAATTCTAGAACTTCATATGCATTAATGATACACATATATGGATAGAGAAATGACTTTCAGCAGATGAATTTCTGGGAAAAAAATATTTTAACATACTCAAATCCAAATGCAGATTTTACTTTAGTTTTGCAAGCGTTGTCAGTTAGCTATGCGACAAATCGCTTCACTAATAAATTTGAAATGCTCAAATAAATGTGTTAGTCTCTAAGGTGCCACAAGTACTCCTTTTTTTTTTGCGAATACAGACTAACACGACTGCTACTCTGAAACCTGAAATGGGGTAGGAGATGACACCCTACTCACCGTCTCCCCTGCTACGTTTATAAACACAATGAATAATATCAAATTGGTGATCATGTCCAGAAATGACTCCCTATCAGCAACGCAATGGCGCCATATGAAAGACGACAAGACAACTAACAAATAGCTACGCCAGCAAAATTTCTAGCGTATGCACAGTTATTGTGGAAAAAAAGTCCATTAAAAAATCAAGATAATGAAATGTTCACAAACCACATCAATTCCTAGTTAAGGTTGCCCGGTGCTGGGTTAGTACCTGTTAGTAAATATTAATGCTTTAGTTCTTTCTTTCTGTATATTTCATGCATATATTGATTAACTATTCTTTACAACCTTTATCTTCAACAAAGAGTACATCTGAATTCAAAGGCTCAGAACACCCGCCCTTGACCAATAAGTGAACCTGTTCAATAATTGTATCTACTATGCATCCAAAACTCTACATAATTATACTGATATGGAATTTAGGTGGGGGAATGAAAACTGTCCATCCCTTCCATATACAGGAGAGAGAGATAGATTCAGCTTTTAGTCTGACAACAAAGGGTGGTAATGTATCTATTAGGGCTCATTACTGAGCCGAACCCCTCATCAGCATGGAATCATGTCCTCTGGAATGGTGGCCGAAGCATGAAGGGGCATACAAATGTTTAGTATATCTAGCACACAAATACCATGCAACGCCGCCAGCTACAAAAGTGCCATGTAAACACCTGTTCTGATTTTCAGGTGACACTGTAAATAAGAAGCGGGCAGCATTATGTCCCATAAATGTAAAAAAAACTTGTTTGTCTTAGTGATTGGCTGAACAAGAAGTAGGACTGAGTGGGCTTGTCGGCTCTAAAGTTTTACATTGTTTTGTTTTTGAGTGCAGTTATGTAACAAAAAAACCCTACATTTGCTAACTGCACTTTCCCGATAAAGAAATCGCACCACAGTACTTATATGAGATGAATTGAAAAATACTATTTCTTTTGTTTATCTTTTTTACAGCACAAATATTTGTAATAAAAAATAATAATATAAAGTGCACTGGACACTTTGTATTCTGTGTTGTAACTGAAATAAATATATTTGAAAATGTAGAAAAACATCCAAAAATATTTATAATAAATTTAAATTGCTATTCTATTATTAACAATGTGATTAAAACTGGATTAATCATGACTAATTTTTTTAATCCAGTTAATTTGTTTTGAGTTAATTGCTTGAGTTAACTGTGATTGACAGCCCTAGTATCTATTGCTTTCTGTATAGTGGTGTACAAATCTCTGATGGAATTATTTAATCTAAGATTATAAAATTGAACCTGTTATTTCAATAATCTTGAGTCATTAACTCAGACATGCAACAGCTGCCTCATGCCTTTCACCACCTGGACAGTGGCTAAACCAACCTCTGTAAACCAGGAAATGAAGAGCTGAATCCCACCACACACCTCTACAACACAATCTTAACTTTGCCCCTCTAATCCCAGAGCTGGCAGTCACCACTGGGAACAATTCAGTCAGGGTGGTGCAAAGGTAAACAAACTATCAAGGGAAGTGGAGGATTTTCCATCTCCTGAAGCCTTCATGTTAAGGCTGGATGCCTTTCTGGGAGCTGATTTAGTCCAACACAAGGTATTCAGCTCTGTAGAGCAGTAATTAGATGAAATTTTATGGCTTGTTGTACAGGAGGTCTGATTACATGTCCTAATAGTTCCTCCTGGCCTTTTAATCAATAATATCTATGAGAAAGGACTAAGAGAACATGTCATTGTTTGTGTTGTGTTCCACAGATTGGAATGCCAGCATTTATCTGCATGCCCCCCAGCTGTGTGCACTGTGTCAGGTGTAGCTGTAACTGAATGGTGGAGGGATTAGTTGGAGCAGCTTGGCAGAGCTATGATTGTGGTATGAAGAGAGGTGCATGTGAACCTTGAAGAACCGTGTATGCCTCATTTCAGTGCTGTGTTGCAGGTTGTGTCAGTAACAATGCACAAGGGTGTGTTCTTGCCATGGGGATTGTCAGCACTCTGGTGGCATACATCAGTTGTTTACAGGGTTCAGTGAGGGGGTAAGTGAAGGCAATGACTCAGAAGTAATCCTTGAGGGAGAGGGATAAAGGGGTGGCAACATTTTGCAAGTCTGAGCTGGTTTGTGTGCAGTACGCTCAGTGTTTGAGTGGTGGCCAGGCGTAGGCAACTTCTGTTCTTTATGCTAGACCTAAACCCAAGTTTTGCCTTAGCAAAGAGAAGACCTTAGACTTTGTGTTATCCTGCTCCTGTGCTCTGTTCCCAAAGCGTTCTCTAGCAGGGGAGGGGGAGTGCTAGTATGTGTGTCACTGGCATGTTGGGGTGTTGCTGAAAGAGGGCAGAGTTGAGGTTGCACTGTGGGGTGATGTGAACCTCAGCTCTTCATTTCCCCTTCTAATAACGGAGGGGACAGAAATCCTTACCCAGCGAGGTCACATTCTCATAGTTCTCCTGCACGCCGTCCAGGAGAGCCCACTCTTCCCTGGTGAAATACACAGCCACCTCCTCAAAGGCCACTGGCTCCTGCAAGAGCAAGAGTCCAACACTCAGTACTTACTGCCCACTGACAGCCCCACGATTCACAGGGGCGCAGGGCCAATCAAATGGAAGCTATGGGAGGTTCACAATCAGCAGAGTCCCATCCACACCAGTTAGGTGTGTTAGGGTTTTCTTTCCACTCTGAACTTTGGGGTACAGATGTGGGGACCCGCATGAAAGACCCCTTATTTGTGTGATGAATTAATAAAGAATGCATGAATGTGAAGCAACAATGACTTTATTGCCTCTGCAAGTGGTGATTGAAGAGAGGAGGGGAGGGTGCTTAGCTTACAGGGAAGTAGAGTGAACCAAGGGGCGGGGGGTTTCATCAAGGAGAAACAAAGAGAACTTTCACACCGTAGCCTGCCCAGTCATGAAACTGGTCTTCAAAGCTTCTCTGATGCGCACCGCACCCTCCTGTGCTCTTCTAACCACCCTGGTGTCAGGCTGCGCATAACCAGTGGCCAGGCAATTTGCCTCAACCTCCCACCCCGCCATAAACGTCTCCCCCTTACTCTCACAGATATTGTGGAGCGCACAGCAAGCAGTAATAACAGTGGGAATATTGGCTTTGCTGAGGTCTAAGCAAGTCAGTAAACTGCACCAGCGCGCTTTTAAACATCCAAATGCACATTCTACCACCATTCTGCACTTGCTCAGCCTGTAGTTGAACAGCTCCTGACTACAATCCAGGCTGCCTGTGTAAGGCTTCATGAGCCATGGCATTAAGAGGTAGGCTAGGCCCCAAGGATAGCTATAGGCATTTCAACATCCCCAATGGTTATTTTCTGATCTGGGAATAAAGTCCCTTCCTGCAGCTTTTGAAACAGACCAGAGTTCCTGAAGATGCGAGCGTCATGTACCTTTCCCGGCCATCCCACGTTGATGTTGGTGAAACGTCCCTTGTGATCCACCAGTGCTTACAGCACTATTGAAAAGTACCCCTTGCAGTTTATTTACTCGCCGGCCTGGTGGTCCGGTGCCAAGATAGGGATATGGGTTCTGTCTATGGCCCCACCACAGTTAAGGAATCCCATTGCAGCAAAGCCATCCACTATGACCTGCACATTTCCCAGGGTCACTACCCTTGATATCAGCAGATCTTTGATTGCGTTGGCTACTTGCATCACAGCAGCCCTCACAGTAGATTTGCCCACTCCAAACTGATTCCAACTGACCGGTAACTGTCTGGTGTTGCAAGCTTCCACAGGGCTATCGCCACTCGCTTTTCAACTGTGAGGGCTGCTCTCATCTTGGTATTCATGCGCTTCAGGGCAGGGGAAAGCAAGTCACAAAGTTCCACGAAAGTGCCCTTATGCATGTGAAAGTTTCGCAGCCACTGGGAATCGTCCCAGACCTGCAACACTATGCGGTCCCACCAGTCTGTGCTTGTTTCCCGGGCCCAGAATCGGCGTTCCATGGCATGAACCTGCCCCATTAGCACCATGATGTCTACATTGCCAGGGCCCATGCTTTGAGAGAAGTCTGCGTCCATGTCCTCATCACTCTCGTCACCGCGCTGACGTCGCCTACTTGCCCGGTATCGCTTTGCCAGGTTCTGGTGCTGCATATACTGCTCTATAATGCATGTGGTGTTTAATGTGCTCCTAATTGTCAAAGTGATCTGAGCGGGCTCCATGCTTGCCGTGGTATGGCGTCTGCACAGGTAACTCAGGAAAAAAGGCGCGAAATGATTCTCTGCCGTTGCTTTCACAGAGGGAGGGAGAGAAGGAGGGCCTGATGACATGTATCCAGAACCACCCGCGACAATGTTTTTTGCCTCATCAGGCATTAGGATTTCAACCCAGAATTCCAATGAGCAGCGGAGACTGAGGGGACTGTGGGATAGCTATCCACAGTGCAACACTCCGGAAGT